CCATTGTGTAGAGAATTCCTTCTGCTAGATCAAAATCATGACTCGGAGAGATTTTCTCTAAAGGCTGTCGTACTGTTGTGAAATTAGTCGGGGAAAAAGATGATCAATTCCTCTTTACATACCAGCTTGAGAGTAGATGAACAGGAAAAAGACCCAAATGAGGATTCGGAAAGTGTTTTGGTACCGAGGGACAGACAATCGTGAAGGATCTATATGTCTCCACCAAGTCTTGTCTTCCACTTCCTTATATGAGACATCTATAAGGATTCAGAATGGGGCATGTTGTTATGAACCTGAACACTTACAATCAATGTCATGATCTGGATTGTTTTTCTGAACCCAATCGCCTGGAAGACGGTCAGTTCGCTGTAGCATTAATTCTTTTAGTGATCACCTCTCCAGAGTGACTCCACGACTACAAAGAGAATGAGTCACATATATGACCGTGTTCAGAATTGACTTGCCAAATTGCGCTTCATTTGAAGAAAGAAATATGGTGCAGTGCGAATCAATGGCCAGTTCCAATGCAGAGCTCAAGTTGCTTTCATCTCCGTCCCATTCTTCATGTCGGAACCGTGTTGACATGATCGAGTTGAGACGCTCCGGTGGGGCATTATGAACAATACGACGAGCCAAGACCTCACAGGCAATAGCTCTCCCCATGTGTTCATCGTAATCCGCCGCATTGTGGTTCGCATCCTGGGGTCAGGTGTAAGAAGCTTGGTCTCACATTCAAAAAGATGACGAGGTCATGTTCGCTTACCCAAACAAAGCTTTGGCGTGCCCTCAACAGACAATATGGAAGCTATTAGTGCATAATGAGTGATTTTGAAGACATTTTTCGACTTGTTACGCACCGCCTCCCCGAAGTCTCCCGCGGCCTTGGCGTACGCACTGATGACCTTGGGAGTAATAACTCTAGATGTTGGGTCTGAGAGTGTGTCTATTTCGACTTGGACGGGTAATAATTTGAATGTCAATGCGCGAATCCGCTTGATGAGTTCTGTTGCAAACATTAGGTCATTGGTCTTCT